TATTATTTGCCCACTAACAAGATGCGGTAAACCATCAAACCTCTACAGAGATATGAGCAATTTAACCGTCTCAAGAATATTGCCTATACATCATTTAAAAGTAGATCAAACGAAATAAAACATGGAGGTTTCTGAGAGGCCAGAAAAGACTCTGTCTTCTAGTTCAATTTTAATTTTTAGACTAAAAATCACAAAATATGACTTAAATACAAATTCGGGAAATAGTTGAGAAATGAATCTGTCAAATTAACTTCATACGTGTATGTGAGTAAATAAGTAAGATATTCATGCTTCCATTAGGATATTAGGTATAGTCTTCCAAACAACAAGAAATATATACCTTCCTGATACCTTCTTCTAAGGGAGGGAAGTCCAAAGAATACAGTATTTTTGAGCTGATAGCATCTTTGTTTTTGGGAAATTCTCATTTGGACAACTAGGAAATGGAGAATAAGCGTATTAGATAATTTCCGAAAGGGAAAAAAACAATTTGCTGAGTTAAAATGAGAGGAACGATTTTTCATCAGGTAAATGTAATTAACTTTTCTTTTAATTAATAGACCAAAGTTAAGCTATGCAAAAGATTTATTTAATAAAAATTATTAATAAAAACTTCTTATAAAATCAATAATGAGCCCTGAGAAGTCGTAAAAACAAACAAAAATATCACAGCTACCATAGTACAGTTTTATAAAGTGATTATCAAATTAGTTCTATTTGTTAGTTTAGAAAAAAATTGTTTTCATTTAAAAAATAGGCGCAAGACAGACTTTGTAACATAAGCACAAAATTAAATAATTGGGAAAAAACTAATACTATTAAGCAATATTTAAATGGGTTTGGTCTCTGATACGTGATTAGTAGACCTGCAGAAGCCAATCAATTTGATGCAAACTCTGAGTGATATGAGGTCCCTTGTTCAATGTCGGTCGAGCATGCATGAAAAGTACTGAGTGTGTGCGGTTATTGTTCATGTTGGGGTCAATTGTTGACAAATTCAAAATAAAAAATTCCAAATGACGACCTGACCTATTTCGTAGTATAATACGCTAACGAATTAGTTCACTCATTTCAACTTTGTGATGCTGATTTAAGAAACAATATAATTTCGGTGTTAATCAATCGACAATCTGAAAATGGAAATTTTACTAAATTTGTTAAGAGATGTTTCCACCCTGATTAAATGGTAAGCTAAACAAATATACAGAATGAACGAATGAGGTCTGGAATGTAGGGTTCAGACAATAACCACTGATGTCAAAAATGCGTTAGGATTCTTTGATATTTCCATGGTGTACGTTCACCGAAAATTCCGATTATAATTTAACCTTCACATTTATACACTGAGCTGTGTGCGACTGGTAAATTTTGAACAATAAGAGGAAATGTTGAAGTTGAGTTACTCAAAAGAACTTTTCAAGAATCCTCCACAACCCCTCCAACACACCGACTTCAAACATATTGTTGACAATGATTTCATTCTCAATACTGACGCTAAAACGAGTTTAGATAAGAATACAAGCATTTAATAAATATAATCTGAAAGTAACAATATGAAATGTCGAAATTCTTTTATCATTCAAGCTACTTTAGTGCATTCTTTCCAAATTTACTTATTTCAGTCAAAAGGAAAATTCATTAAATTCGTCCAATTACCCCTATTTTAACCCTGTCATGCATGAATAACATATTCAAAGAGTGTTTCTTAACTAAAATGTGGAGGGATAATTTTATTAAATAGTGAAATAATATTATACTCAAATTAGAGGTGGGTTATTTAATGAGGTAAAGTAAAAAGCTGCGTATAACGATGATCCATAATATTTGCTCATGGTTAGTATTTCACCTATTCTTTTATTAAACAAAAGTGCAAAGTGCTAGGATAACAGTTGGTCCTTTCACTTCCCTATTTTGAGAAGAAACAAACGCGTTTTTGGTGAAAAACGAATTATGGAATCTCTCTGAGACAGTTGTTAGTGTTCGTCAATATTATAAACCGAGAGGGTGATTTTGCACTGTAACTGGAATTGTAGGGCCGAACTTCATGCCAATCAGCTTTGCATTCACCACCACCAAATTTGCAGTTGAGGATACGCGTTAGATAAAATTACTGATGTAAAATTTGTAATATCAGAAACTTGGGACATACACTGGACTGACATACTATGCATGGCGTCCAAATCGTTCTTTAAGATAACAAAAATTTGATCAACTACTCAAGGAGTGATAAAGAGAAAAATTGCATTGACTTTTTTCATTGCTGTATCCCGAGAGACAGATGCATTAAAGGTTTACAAAGTGCGTGTTTAGATTACATCAACTTGGAAAGGAGCCCTCAAGCACCTTATGCAAGTGTCTAAACTACTCTGGTACTGAACGCACCAATTCCTAGAAGTGTATCAACACGCGAATATTAAGTTGACTAACGGGGGTGTGCGATACACTTACCTCCACGCTGGTTTACGCTGGGCAACGTACACTAGTACCACAAAAGAGTCTATTAACTGGCAGTTGACTTCTCACTTCAATCTACCATGACCCCACTGTATGTCACGTTTCATCACTTTCACAGTACTCATCTTACCTTTTCTCTTCCTTTGTGTTTGTCTGTCTGGCTCTTTTACATCTGTAAATCATTACTCTGTTCCCCTCTCGACTTTTTCACTTCAATGTTCCTCCTTCTCTCTGTGAAGCTCGACGTCAGCTAAAGAGCTAATGATAACTATCAAAACGCCTGTCACTTGAAACGAACGTTGACTAACTGTCTGTCCTTAACCCTGAATTCACCATGCTAGTTTTTATGACTCTGCGAACAGCGATGTATCACATAGCTTAATGCAAATTTCAACCGCGCTATTTATAACAAGCTGATGCGACAATGCCAGCGGGTTCTTAACTCGTGGAGAGGGAAATGTGATTGTTGCGCCCATAAACAGCAACAAACACTTCAGTGGGGGGGGGGGAGTGACTAAGCTGCCGAAAATTTCATGCCTCACCAAATTCTGGAGGCTTTTGAACTGAGCATTGATTAGTGCGTTAGAAAACCTTTAAAGTGCATTAAAAGCAGTTATTCTTTAAATGCTTTTATTGATTATTTATTTCCATCTGCGCTTGTTTATTGATTTGCTGCCACCAAAATAATGAGCTTATTAATACTCATCCCTTTATGAAACCCAAATGATAAAGATTTCGCCTTTTACATAAGATTGGACGGACAGAGTACTGTATCGAATTTGTATTCGGTTGAAATATTAAATAGGTATTTATACGTGGTGATATTTTAAAGTGTCAAAGGAACTATTTACTAATTACTATTTTACTATTTATTAAAGCAGTGCATTTATTCAGAATCTATTTACCTAAGCACAGGGAAATAGCAAATCTGGTTGAGTCTGAAGAAAACATAAGTAGACTTAATAGCGAATGTGCTAGAATGTCGACGAACAGACCACAAAGTCACAGAGGGGTTTTTTATCTCAGGATGGGTAATTCCTACAAGTGGTCTCCACGTTGCCAATTGGCCTTGACAATATGTAGTCTCCCGACACCCTAACCCCGTATTCCAACAGCTTGTATTTTTAATGAAAAAGCCGTTGCCGCCGAGGTGATGTTATGAACCTTAAGAGCAGTAAAATGAAGAATTTCACATAAATTGCCCTCATTGAAATACTAAAATGTCCTGGATTTATCCTGCCTCTCTCACTCAAACTTGGCTTGAATCAACTATACTTTGGTGATATTTAGTGATTGCACAAACCAATGCGAGGTTTAATCATTTAAGCAGTTCAGTACTACTTGACAAAAAGTTAATACTCCATTCATCTCTCAAATACTATACTGCTAAGCCGAAATTGATAATTTTGTAAGTAACTTTACTGATATGAGCCACTTTTACGTAAATGACAATATTCGGAGATTTTTCTAATGCCCTTTGAGTTAATCCTGGTAGTGTTGGTGGTATATTCTACTACTTCCATAGTACGCATCTCACCTTCTATCTACTTTCGTCTTTGAAACAATCTTCTGTCCCCTCCCTCTCCCTCTCCACTTTTTTCACTTTGATGTTCCTTCCTTCCTGAAGTTAACTAAAGGGCTAATGATAACTATCAAAACTCCTTCCATTTAATATAGATATATTTACCATAAATTTTAGGGCATTCAAGGGAAGATAAAAGGATGGAGGGGGGGGGGGGTAGGCGTAGTAGATACCTCTGATAAATGCCACCTTGTCAATTAACTTTAATGATATTAAAAGCAGTGGGGGTGGGGGGTTGGGGAAACAGTTAAATAATTGAAACGGTGAAGACACAGTGTACGCTTTCCTCCTCAGACACCATAATTAAGTAAAGTGAAAATGCCTTCTTGAACTACCCACTTCTCGACTCTATTTATCCATTTAATCAGCGCATAAAAATGAAGGCAGGTTTATTTTATGAAAAAATGGAGTTCACTAATTAAGGCGTTCTTTCAACAGTGAAAAAAGATACACACCGTCATTAAAATTCACGACTACTTGATTTTTTCAACATGCATAGAAAAGCATTGAAAAAATTGCGTATCAAAAAGAATACCACAAAATGGCATTAGAAACAGCTCTTAATATAATGTACACCTAGTGACTAAATCTCCATGAAATTTGCAAAATAAATTTTAATTAACTTTATACTTTAGTCGATTTAATTCAAACATAAGTCCATTTTAAATTCGCTAATGAAAAGGGCACAATTCCCTTGTACCTAGTCTTCTGACCAAAACTCGACCAGCAATAGATTGATCATCGCCTTTGCATTGTCATGACGACTTAGCTATGACTTTGTTCGTGTTGTACGTAGGTTTGATAAGGCCATTCCTTTCCCCTTCTTTCATTTGACTCAAACATCAATTTTCTTATTCTCACTTGGCATGAAAAGGGCCAACTTGTTTCTATGTTAGTACAGTCTAATTGACTGTAAGCCGGAGATCACGTTGTCCAAATTTGGCATAGTTATTTGGCTTTTTTCTCAATTGGGACTTGAATTAGCTTCCATGCAAATTGCTATTGATTCTTCGGCTTCCAGGAGGGAAGAGGCCGATGACTTGTAGCCACCCAGAAGCATAAGACAGTTTGCTGAACCATGCTCTCGTAGAGTTTCGTAATTGAATAATGCAATTACAAGAGAGATGTCTTGAATAAGAAATCGCTTCAATTAATGAATCATGTCTATGTAAATAAAGCTCTCAGAGTAAACTGTTTGGCTCTGTCACATAAAATATGATTATCCGATTTAACGACAGTGTTAGTAATAGTTTTCCGTATATTGGCAAAATAGGATATTGTGGAAGCTGCTCTTCTGTTAACTCATCACATTGGAAGAAAAGGGTCACGTACCGAATCAAGCACCTTAACATTTGCTTGAGACATAAATTCAATTTAAAACAAATAAAGTTTGCAAGGCAAGAGAGTATTTTTAATTGGCTCTAGGAAGCTTCAAATCGCATACCGTACTATACAAACCCCCAAAATTTGTTACCAACCAACCTCTTTTAGTGTGAACCAGTCCATTGCATAATTTCTTTTTTCACTATACCCTTCGAATGCAACTTAATATTTGCAGATCAAATTCGCTTTCATAATATTTTGATCCAATGAAAGAGCAATGTTTACGATGGAACCACTTATGCTTAACCTAGCCAATCACAAGATATGTGCAGGTATGTTGAATTTCATCCTGATTTTTATTTCGAATAGAACTGATCTTCTTTCTTCCAAGACTCTCAGACTGACACCTTTTGAAAGAAGCCAACATATTATCATTTGGAAAAAAGTAAATCAACGCGTCCTTTCTAATGTGAATTTAAAGTGGACAAATACCTCGTAGATGAAACACGTCAAACCCCCCCCCCCCCCGGGAACCTCTTTCAATTTTATGCTGCTCATTTGTTTCCTTAAGCATATTCAACACTAACATGAAGCAACTTTCAAACATTAGTATTACCTGGAGTAATGAGTCTCCCTCGATCCTGTCCAACAGGTGATAACCACTCATAGAGATATATGGCAGCTCCAGAGGCATGGACGCTGAAGAGGAGAATAATGCACCAACATTGATAATCGTAGGGCTCTAAAAAAGAGGAATAAATATTAGTTAAATAAATCGAAAATGATATTAGAAGAAACGGAGAATTTATGCATTTCCTTCTCCATTGTCCTTAATAACAATTAAGGACAAGGACTGTGATTGATATGCTTGTCAAAAGATGCCATATAACCTTTTTCGTGAATTAAATATCCCATTTTCTCGAAGCTTTTGACCTTGATATCGAGAAACCGTTCCCTTTCCTTTATAACTTAAACAAAACACATTCGTTTAAATGTTAAATTAGGAGAAAGTAAATAAATTGTGAGGAGAAATTCGATTAATAATTTCACACTTTGAATAAAAGGCAATTTAGGTTGAAACCTTAGATTCGGCAATGTAAACAGTGCGAATAAATTGCATTGAGGGTACTTCTTATGCGTTCACCTGCACAACAAGTTAATTTCCTACTTTGTTTTTTTGATTTAAGGACGAATGCGGCATGGGAATTTGACAAAATATTGAAATCAATCGGGCTATCAATGAACTCCGAACAACGTGAATATAAATTCAATCGGGAAGTGATTGGCAAAAGAATAGGTATTAGAAGTTAAAAATTTCGATAAATGTCAATTAGAATGACATTAATTTGAAAATAAATTTAAGTTAGATGTTTTAGATGCGCTGATAATATTTTCCATTTCCATATATTCGGAAATCCGTTTCGTCTTCTATTGGACTCCTAATCTTTCTCCAATTAAATTTTTAAAAAATTGATTTACTTCAACTCTTAGTAAAATTGCGCATATCAAGAATATTTTCAACTATTCTACCAGCAGAATATAAATATTTCTTGTATTTAAACAAATAATCTCAATCTTTAATAGGGCTTTTTAAATTCTTACCTAATGCCATATATATATATATATATATATATATATATATATATATAACGGAATTATATATATATATATATATATATATATATATATATATATAGATCGAATCCCATTAAAAAATTGCGCATAAGATGAGCTTATCATGCATATAAAAAGACAGTAATAAAACGACCCGATTAAGCGAAACTTTTAAGCAACAAGGAGATCAGATATTATCCGTAGGTGTCTTCAAATAGTCACCTTCATCTTAAGGTGTCATCAACAAATTAGGCACAATAAATCCTAATTAGGAAACTTGTTATGCAAATCTATTTTCGTAATCTAAATAACAGCGCTGCAATGAGTGACATTTAATGGTTTGGTTGGGTTAGAAATGGAGACTTTTAGCTAACGTGAGGACAGTTAAATTTTGGCCAAAATATTTGGACATTTCTTACCCAAGAAAGCTGTTGGTGAGATAGCGCCTTCCCTTAACGCAACAGTGATTGCAATGCCAGTTTCAAGAAACGGTACGCTGAAATCAATCTGCTCCGAGCGATTTGGTGTTATTTTTAGAGATGTAATGGCCATATCTGCCTTTTGGTCCATTAGTTCTCGCACCAAGCCATTCCAACCGTCTTTCTAATAAGTAAAAAGTGCAGATATTTTAAAATGCCATAGGTAAATTTATGATTACTATGTTACCTTTGCACAAAATGTTCTATTGCCAAGGTCGTACTTTACCCTTGTCACAAATGGCAAATAGACTGTCAAAAATGTCCCTATTTATCTGATAGTTAAAATCAAAGCGTTGGATTAATGAATAATTAAAAGCCGAACACAGAAAATGTAAACACATTAGAAATTCACTCAAAAAGTTGACGAGCTCGGTTATTTAACTACCTCCCTAGAGCAGACGTTTCAAATCCCCTCCCCATGAAAAGTTTCCTATTGTAACACCCCGAAAGGGTGAAGGTAATTAATTATTAAGTCACCATCTCCGCTATCGCAACTCGCCTTTTTTAGGAACTTGTAAACTGCCTTCTCAAATATGAAATCCATCAAATATGACTGACCATCGTTAACAGACGATCCATGAATAAATACCACGTAACGTGGCAGGCGTTTTGATGGTTATCATTAGTCATTTAGTTGACTTCAGGCTTCACAGAGGGGAAGCAACTTCAAAGTGAAAAAAAGTCGAGAGGTGGGGGGGGGGAATAGAAGAGGGTTTCAGCGATGAAAAGGGACAGACACAAAGGTAGAAAAAGATGAGGTGAGTACTGTGAAGGTAGTCAAATATGACATACAGTGGGGTGATGGTAGTTAGAAGTCAGAAGTCAACTGCCGATTAATAGACATTTTTGCCGTATGAATATACGTTTCCCAGGGTGCACCACGTGGAAATAAGTCTATCGCGCACCCCCCCCCCCCAATAGCGAATATAGGGATTTGAATTATGGAGCGTAAACTACCTGCTGGTCAAAAATTGTTCAAACATAATTTGACGATAAAAAACGGTCGCATTCCATGATATCTTAATTTGTGTTTGAAACTACTTCGCTACCCTCACCTTTTTTTCACATGCTAACATTTCAATAACGGATTTACAATCTATCCTTAGAATAAAAGCATGTGAAAAACGATTCAATTGTTGTGAGGTAAACCAAATCCCCATTCACTTACATTCAATCAATAAGGAGACGGTTGTCTCTTACTGCAGTACCTGTCTATAGTAGAATTACTGCACAAATATAAGCTAGTATTTGAGTAGCTGAACCCCATTAATCGTCTCTGAATAATTATGCTAATTTAACGGGTTAGTAAGCAGAAGTTTTTGGAAGTGAGGTGTGCAAATGACCTTCAATTCAACTAATTTTATTCATTTTATATTGACAAAAAATTTTGTTTACTTCAAGTACATGTGCCTTGTTTCGGGTTGGAATGAGGTCTATTTATTAGGACAATACTGTAATTAATACTCAAAAACATTATTATGAGACGTTATTTAAGAAAATTGGACCTAAATGCCATTTCGCTCTGTCAATAGACCTCATTGCAAAGCTAAAACTGACCTGAAAACGATAATGAGTTATTTTCAAGTAGGGATGATTTGAATTAAGAGGGCACAAGAATTGGAGATTGAGAAATATGTGTACAAGTAAAGTTTCCCATCACTATGCTATCTTGTTCCCAAAATAGTGTAGTACATATTCGATGTAACCGAACATTCTAGCATTGTACATCATGTTTGCTGTCTAGGTTTCAAAGCCAATACAAAAATGATTAGGTTGTAAATCATTAAACTGAAATAGATACCTAACTGCCTGAATTAGCCGCCGTTTCATTTTACGTGATGTCTGACTGCATGAAAAGCCTTTAAATTAACTTCTTCGTACAGTAACTTACCGCTTCATAAAATGCACGCATTTTTATTTTTAAAATCTGGATATGACATGCACAACCCAGATAAGATCTGGATTGATTGTGTCAAATTGCTCCTTATCAATAGCTGAAGGCACTTACGGTCCAACCACCCCAAAGACGATCATAGACTTCGTAGAGTTCCACCTCAAAGTTCAAATCCTTCATGAGTTCAATAAGTAAGTCCATCGAAAGACCCGTGCAACAAGCAAGTTTTCTGCCCCGTCTTGTCTCTGAGTGGTCGGGTCCCGAGTAATTCCGGGGCATCAAAGGAGGCTGCTTGGTCACTATTACCGTGTCAGTTTTCTTGTTAGACCTCTCATTATCACCCCGTATCCAGCAGGGTATAGAGTTCGCGTCACAAGTACCATCTTCCTGAAAGTAAAATTTACATTTCATATCAACGTCCGGACTTCCATCATTCTTCCTGGGTGGAAAAGAGGAGGGGGGAGGATAAAAGAACTTTTAGATAAAATTCAGCAAAACTCAAACCAAAATAATGTGAAAAATGCACATAACTCAAACCCTCTACGAGGAACTTTGATGTAATTGCGTTACTACACGTCATCCCATCTGCTTCTAAGACTTGGAAAGAAACTTGGTTTAAGATGCGTCGCATTTTGGTTAAATTTTAGTTTATTTTAACACATTAGTACGTACATAAATGCTTAGACACATAACTTTGACTACTCCTGAGGTGGAATAGAATTAACTTACCCGAGGGTGCTTTAAATTCACAATGGTGGTCAGAACTGTCATATTGATGCGCTTTCATAACACAAAATGACCGAAATATCGCATCATCCACAAACTCATAACAGTATAAGGAGCTTGGTTGAGAGATCGCCATTTTCTGTTTATCGGTGATTAAGACGGTTGTACCATACACTTGCCGGTTTTCAAATCTTAATGGCTTAACTGTTACAGTAACGTGTAAGAAGTCACAATTAGCCTACGCTTTCATGGATTGAACTTAAAACGTGCAATGTATAATAAGTCAAAACTGCAATAACTATATTACGCCACTCGGCCAAAGTCTCATTCACTTATTCCAAGACGACAAATGCTGAAACAGTGATATAGAGAGTTAAACAATCCAAATCTCGAAAGTATTTATTTATGCAAACGATTGTTGATCGGTTTTTAAACTTTCCTCGAAGTACGACAAAGTGACAGGAACCCATTTTGAGGTGGTTATAACATATTTACTCTTCGCATATTTTGTATTATTTGCTTAAAAAGGAGATACTTCACTGAAAGCCTCTGAAGATAGCCTATTCTTAAAAGCCCACTTTGTACAACATTAGTTCAAGTTATCTAGTTGTACTCTTAAAGACCATGAGCAATAATGGAAATTTTCGAGAACCCATAGATTAGATTACTACTTGCTGCTTTTAATACCCCCCAAAGTCGTAATACATTCATGGCTAACTCAGAATCGTAGCTAATGACATCGATACCGCTTTGTTATGCAAAGCATTACGCCAAAGAGCTAACCGTTTCAATTCGTAATGTTATGCAATTAGTAATTTCCAAGTGGTCATTGGTTGGGCATTCACCTCTCTCGCACTCTCCTATCTAAATGGCAATTTTAGTATCGAAAGTGGCAATATAATTAACAAAGTCAATTTCAGCATAAACTATGCATTAGGCAAACTCTCCTACTCTCAACAGTTCACGTTGTCGTTTTGCATTAAAGGAGCTGCCAACTGCGAGTCGAGGGTTGTCTTTTTAAAGAAAATAATTTAACAACCGCGAAAGAGAGAGAGAGAGGGTACGCAGTAGTGAAAGTCGGTTGTCACGGCAGTAATAATGCCTGTTTTGGACGTCATGAGAGTGACTTCTCCACCTAACCAGGAATTGGTATAAGCAATCACTGCCTATGCTAACTATGCACTTATTTGTTAAAGTGAGATTAAGACTCACTGGCATTTGGGGTTAAAACGAAATCGAGTACAATTTCTCAAAAGTAGATTTCCAAAGTTCCTTGATTTTTTTAAAATCTTCGAGTGTTCGTTGGGAAGTCTTGGTTACTTTAACGACACCTTCAGATGTTTATTTTAAATCAAATATTCCAATTAATGTCCGCCAGTGTAATAGACCATCAATTAGTTTTCAATCGATCCTCAAATTCTGTTGATAAAACTATTTTATACTTAATGCCGAAAATTGTTCGAGGTAAGCGAAATATAGCCCGAGGAATGGCTATGGATACCTAGATGCTAGTGGTATCTACATAGTGTTCTGCCTTTGTTGGGTAATTCCCCTTGTTTACTTTAATGGATTCGTTGTGTGTTCCTGCAGTATAAGCCAGGTAATTGAGATTTCATGACCTTTAACATACTGTAAGTGACCTTGAGCGCTTTAAGTGCAAATAAGATATTTATTCAACCGTTTTCATTAACGCAGGCTCACTTTTATCCTTCGCGCACTGCTTTATCCACTAATATAATGACATTAATTCTTCCATGTATGTTAATGGCATACTTACGATTATATTGCTAACAAAAGGTGATTCAGTATGTTAGAACTTTCAATTCAATCTTAAATATTTGTTACAAACTACATTAAATGTAAGCCAATACTGATAGCAATGTAAAAATTTATAATGTGCTCTGCTCTTTGTGTGAAAGTGGCCCACTCATTACACTCCAAATGCAAATTCAATAGTTATTTCCCCATTAACTCACGATTAGCAGTTTTATTACTTTACTAGCGTTTAAATGCATTCCAACGATTACGACGTAACGAATTTCAAAATTTAATGATGCGAAGGAATGCAACAGGAGAGGGAATGAAATAATCCGATATGGAGGCAACAATGAGTAGAGAAGTGGGTTCATTTGAAATGGGGGTACGAATTCGGACACCTACTAAATCGGTTTTACTTGAATGGAGGATTTTCTGTGTAATAGACCCTTTGTTGACTATATCTAATTTGCATTCGTCTGTAAAAGTTAAAATATGCTCGAAAGAGCCCTTGTTACCTACATGTGTCCAGATTCGTAGCATTCAAAGTCATTTTGACTAGTTGAAGTAGCTATTGAGTTAATACAATACTTTAAATTGTTCGCTAGGCAAATTGAGAAGATAAAACCCATTAATTAGATGGCTGAAAGTACCATGCGTTTGAGGCAGAAATACAATCAGTTCTCCAGGTTTATTGAGTAAGTACTTTTAAATAAAATCGTTAATATCTTCCGTTTTCTTATCCAAAGGTGATCCTAACCTTACTTCGTTCATAAGCGAGAGATGAAAGCTAGATGGCTGATGGCATGATCGTAATTCAACACCACTTGTAGATTTCGGTCAATAGGACTGATATAATACGGTAAAATTCTGATCAGTGACAATTTCTGTCAAACTACCACATTTCCTAAAAAAATTACTTGGGAAGTTCGTTATTAATGTTATTCGACAGTACAAACGCAAAATCGAATATTGAAAGTGTATTGAGTATTGGAATGAGTGAATATGGCATAAGTGGGCTCACGTAAACACAGATCAAGATGATAGTCATGTTGCCTACAGCTAAAGAGTTGTTTATTTTCAATTGGAAAGAATATGGAGTTTGAATACTTCCGTTTAGACACAAGCACCCATTGAAGTTGTCATTTTAAACTTCAGTTCCTTTTTCACCAATTTCTAATTCTGACAAAATTCACTAACGGTTGATTAATTTGTAGAATAACGGAACCAGACTTAAAGGCTTTGATGAATGAGTATATTTTGATTAGAATAGTAGAATTTTAACAAAACTACTCATACAAGTTTCACAAGAGCCCTGAAGGGTGTTATAAGAATATCTGTCAACTTCGATTTCGCTTTCGGAATATCATAAAAGTAGAGAAATGGTAGGTAAAACAAGCCTAATCCAGTAAAATGCTGCACATCAAGAGCTTCAACTTTCATCGCTTCTGAGGCAAAACGTTTATTCCAATATCTATCAGTATTTTAACACTGAGTGATACGAAAGTGCCATTTTATCACAATAA